CCGATACTCAATAGTTCCACAAAACCACCAGTTACTAATAGCGAACATTAGAACGATTGGTTCTATTCAATTGTCAATTTACCATAATAATAACTAAAGATTCGCAATACTAGCTATACTCGGTAGTTAGATAAAATGGGAAACACAATGAACGGAAGTTCTAGTTCAAGTAGAGTGATTCGTAGTTATCACAAATGAAGTGAATAGGGTTTCCTTCCTTAAAACATAAAACATCACACTAGAACGGAAGCACAACAAAAAGTAGCAACTCTCAAGTGATATACATATGTAAGCATTCCAGTAAATTCTGGTTTTGGAAGTCGTACTGTAGTATATGCCCACACTTGTTACCCATTAGCAGCGACACCCCCAACCCCCAAACACCCGAACCGAACCCCTTATTCAAGCAGCCATCCGGGTAGATTCCACATCAGTTGCCAAGCTGCAATGACGCCATCTTGCATTTGACGATCTTCAAAGCTAGTTTTACAATAAACCAATAGAACTGAACTAACTAATGCCCGTCCCACTTTTGATCTTTGCTCGGTGTGTAATTATAACCCCATCCAGTCCTTCAGCTGCCCCGTGCAACTTTTCAATGCGGCTTCCACTCGGCGACTCACATCTTGGCATTTAATAAGAAGTTGGCCTTGAAGGCAGCCAGTTTCAAATTTCTGAGTTCTGAGTTTTGAGCTTCTGAGCTTCTGAGTTTCTGAGCCGCACTTCGACCGAGTGAGTGTGTGTGATTAATGGGAATTCTGGCGGTTGAAGCAGCCTGCCTTTTGCTTTGAATTAGACGTTGACTCCACTGAAGCTTTGAGCTTTACGCTGCGGATGCAGGAAGGCTCAAAGTGAAGTTTCCCAAGAAAATCCAGCTTGGGATTTGGCAGACATCTCAAATTTGTCAGAGAAACATAGGTATTCCAGAATAGCCCTTATCAGGTCATTATATTATTTCCCTTCAGATAGAAAACTACCAGCTTGCGGCATAGTATTTGAAAAAACGTTTTTGTTTGTACATAACTCAGCCAAAAGAAAATCTAGAAAACTAGAGTACTTAGATCTACAATACCTACTCTGCATTAAAGGGAGTTTTCGAGATTTCGAAGCAGCAAAAGTATGTTTTTTGACCCTTGCAGTACGATGCTAGGCAATTGATTACATTCATCCATTAAACGGGCCTTAATTAACGTCGATTTGGCTTCCCCACCACTCCACGCAGCCTTGTAACGCTGAGCATGTTGATGTCAGCACATTTGTCGCCCCGAATTAGCGGAAATGAACACTCATGTTTCGGTCTGTAATGTGGCCAAACTGGAGCCCACAGACACACAGATGCACAATCGATCCGCGCTAATTGTCATTAATCAGAGGCGTTCGTTTGCCTGGGAAAAATGGAGGAGCATGTGGGGAGCATGTCGGTCAGCTGACATCTCCATTCGTTCGGTAATTATACGCTGCACTTATGGCGCGGGGGAAGCCAGCGCCTTAAGATCTCACTTCTGGCTAACTTAGTTGCCCCAAGCCGCAGACCTCCGCCCACCCAAAACCAAAACCAGCACCACCCCCTCAACCACTCGACCACTCGACCATTCAACCACATGACATGCGAAGCGGTACCAATTTATCGTACTGACAACGCTCGGCAGTCATTGGAAAAGCGATTCAACAAAATTTAAAACAATTTAGCTTATGTCACGTCTGCTCGCTGCCAAAAGGGGAAACTCGGGGGCAGAACGAAGAGTTTCAAGCGCTTAGAACAAAGCGCCACAAATTGTATTGTGTCACGCTCGATCTGTGGCCATGCGAACGGAGATATGAGCCCCACATACTCATGTGTACATATGTAAATACTAGGCTGTAAATATGTGCAATATATAGATATGCATATTTACTATGCCAGTATATGCGAGCACTTATAGTGCCAGGCCATATAGATATGACTCGGCGAACATAGTCATGTACATGCTATTTATACGTTTATTCATTTAGTTGGCCTGTTTTAATTATAATTAACGCCGCTTTGCAAATTAACCAGCGGAAAACGAAGCAATTGGGGGGGGCTGTCGTCTACCCCAAGGGAAACTAGCTGGCGCGGATTAGTGCAGAACATCCAAAGGCATCGGAAGGTACTGCCTAATGCTTCCAGTCTGATAAAAATCATCTGGGTTAACTGCTTCTGGCGTGTCCATGTGATCACGCACACCCAACTGGAATGCCATGTCAAAACCTTATAAAACTGAAGCGAAAGCTTCGCTTTTTCTATCTTGATTATAGGGCAGTGTGCTTGTTCTCAGGTATCTGGTTCCTACTAAGTAGTTGATACTAACCTTTGTATGATTTCAACTGGTTGCCAAACCAATACCTTGTTATGTTATTTAAGTTATGTAATTTGGAATGTTTTGTTAGAAGGCACCACCCCTCCAAGGGATCACACCTATTGTAGCGCATATCCAGATTACCTTTCAACGCATTTTATGCTGCTACTGCTGTCCCAACCGATTGTCCACCGTGAATGAGTTTGTGCCACTCGGATGACGCGCTGAAAACCCTGAGCAGGCTGTCAATCAGGTTGTCGCACATACAAACCGAGCGGCGCCTTAATAATTGATACCGCCTGCAGCTGGATGACGATGACGATGGCAGTTGGTGGGTCGGATGGGAAGTGGGGCTACACAGGGAGAAATGATGGGTTACTTTAACTGGAGTAAGTCTTCTTTTGGTAGAGCGGAGGGAAAGAGGGGATTTATTTGCTGTGCAACACTCACTTATCAAAAATATACATTTCACTACATCGATCCATATTCTCGGTGCATATGGCGGCATGTGTTGTTGGGTGGTGGCTGGGCTGTGGAGTATGGTGTCCAATGGGATGGTGGTGCTGACAGGCACCGAATCCAGCGAATCCAACGAATCCAGCGAATACGGCAACTCCAACTGGGCCATGACGTGAGGCGACGCATCAGAGCGGAGCCCAAAGGAAGCGTGTGAAATCCCATTTGGCTAATGGCCAACGGCGTCAGCAGGAAAATCAACCTGTTTCGAAGTGCCCCCTCCTTTGAAACTGGGAAAACTCGCTTCCAATTTCCACAGCGACGCAAGGCGAATGTGGGCCAACCAGCGTGTCTTCTGTGTTGGTGGGAAAACGGGTTTTTCATTCGGGTTCTGCAACTGTTTTTTTGGCGACTCGCTGACACGCTGGCCTCCTTTTTTCTCGCTTCCAGCACTGGCACTCCCAGCTTTTCCACTTGCTGTGCTGTGCTCGTGCTGATTTTCCTCATTTTCCTCATTTCCCTGTTGCAGGATCGGGGGAAAATGTAATGAGATGGGGCCCTTCCAGTCAAGATATTCCAAGGAGATGGCCGGGTGGCTCAGCACGGTGTGTCGGGGTCACCTTTGTTGCCGTTTTTTCGGGGGTGGTTAACCATAAAACGAGGCGCCGAAATTCTGCGGCCTGGGCACTCGGTGGGTGGTGCGATGATATCAGCCTAAGGGTTGGATGTTTTTCCGCTCGGAGAAACGAAGCTCTCAGTCCAAACCCACCCCCGGTCCACATAATCATAATCAAAAGTGCCCTACTGGAACTGGAAATCAATACCGTGGCAGAGCGTTTATACGCATTGCTCATACGCAACGTATGAGTCGAGCTGAGAACTTTGGACTTCATAAAAGTGATTCAGCTCATAGGGCCAAAGCCAGCAAACGTTGCATGCATCAACATAAATCTGTGTGCGGCGAATCCCATGCAAATCCGCGAAGGGAATCGCCTGACCCACATCTCCTGCTGATTTGAAATTCGAATTCGTCGCGAGTTCATCGGCACTACCGCAAACTTCCCACAACAAGCCAAAAAACACAGCCAAAAAGACCAAACACAAATTTATACTCGGAGCTCATATTTATGGATGCTGGTTTGGCTGCCTTAAAATGCTTGACGAATTCCTTAAGAACAACTAAATGCTGATATGGAGAAAATGTGAAATTCCCAAATACTCGTACATATACATATGTATCTTAGATTATAGTCTGTAGTTTTAAAAAGTATTTAGAGAATTAAAGTTTGATTACTCGAAGAAATTTCTTTGCTAATTATACCCGTTACTCGTAGAGTAAGAGGGTATACTAGATTCGTTGAAAAGTATGTAACGGAAGCGTTTCCGACCATATAAAGTATATGTATTCTTGATCATGATCAACTTATCTTAATCGGATTTTGAAGTGGCATACCTCTAAATGTTTCTGGCGCAATTCTCTAAAAATCTGCATTCAAATTTAGAAATTTATTTTTTTTCAATTTTTTTTGTAATTTTTCTGATGTATGATGTTGGAGAAACTCAAAAAAACTAAGAAATGCCCCAAGGCTGAAGTTCAAAACTCCATAACTCAACTTATATTAATCGGATTTTGAAGTGGCATACCTCTAAATGTTTCTGGCGCAATTCTCTAATAATCTGCATTCAAATTTAGAAATTTTTTTTTTTTAATTTTTTTTGTCATTTTTCTGATGTATGATGTGGAAATTCGAAAAAATTTAAAAATGTCCCAAAGCTGAAGTTCTAAACTCCATAACTCAACTTATCTTTATCGGATTTTGAAGTGGCATACCTCTAAATGTTTCTGGCGCAATTCTCTAAAAATCTGCATTCAAATTTAGAAATTTATTTTTTTTCAATTTTTTTCTAATTTTTTTGATGTTGTGATGTTTTAGAAACTCAAAAAAACTAAGAAATGCCCAAAGGCTGAAGTTCTAAATTCCATAACTCAACTTATCTTAATCGGATTTTGAAGAGGCATACCTCTAAATGTTTCTGGCGCAATTCTCTACAAATCTGCATTCAAATTTACAAACATTTTTTTTTAAATATTTTTGTAATTTTTTTGATGTTGTGATGTTTTAGAAACTCAAAAAAACTAAGAAATGCCCAAAGGCTGAAGATCTAAATTCCATAACTCAACTTATCTTAATCGGATTTTGAAGTGGCATACCTCTAAATGTTTCTATTATTGCATTACATTGCAATACTACAAGCGTATATAAACTTCGCCTTGTCGAAACTAGCTTCCCTTCTTTTTATGTATCAAATGTATCTCACAAATACCCACGTCTACAGATCTGACTTACGAGCTTGACTGCTGTCTTCAGCTGCTCAAGTTCTGAGTTAGCAATCAAACATATGAAATGATTCAACGGATTAAGGGGACATTTTTAATTAAAAGGGCTGGCTCATTACCATAATAACACGTTTTGGACGTCAGGGATCGTCGCCCACTCAATTAGGTCCTGCAAGTAATCCCGTCATTAAACACGGCCAGGTGTCGTTTGTTCTGGCTGCAAAACAATTATTAAACCATTAGGAGGTATTCGTGGGGGTGCTATATAAGGAAACGGTTCTGTAAGCGGGTGCAATCATGTATCCGCGATTTCTGGACCCTAACTATCCGCTGGCAAAGCATTTGTTCTTCGTCACCAGATACTCTTTTGGCCTGCTGGGCCTGAGATTTGGCAAAGAGCTATCGTGGCTTCATCTCTCGTGGCTGGTGTTCAATTTCGTGAACCTGGCGCACTGCTGCCAGGCGGAGTTCGTCTTCGGCTGGCTTCACTTGCGCACCAGTCCCGTGGACGCCATGGATGCCTTCTGTCCGCTGGCCTGCAGTTTCACCACGCTCTTCAAGCTGGGCTGGATGTGGTGGCGTCGCCATGAAGTAGCTGACCTGATGGAGCGCATCCGCTTGCTCATCGGGAAGCAGGAGAAGAGGGAGGATTCCCGGAGAAATGTGGCTCAGCGGAGTTACTATCTTATGGTCACCAGGTGTGGTATGCTGGTCTTCACCCTGGGCAGCATTACCACTGGAGCCTTCGTCCTGCGATCCCTTTGGGAAATGTGGGTGCGTCGGCATCAGGAGTTCAAATTCGATATGCCTTTTCGCATGCTGTGTGTGATGCTGTGAGTATGTCAGTGAGGAGCCATATCTGATTAGATGATCCGCAGGTTCCACGACTTTGCGCATCGCATGCCTTGGTTTCCAGTTTTCTACCTCTACTCCACTTGGAGTGGTCAGGTCACCGTATATGCCTTTGTTGGAACCGATGGGTTTTTCTTTGGCTTCACCCTCTACATTGCCTTCTTGCTCCAGGCCTTAAGATACGATATTCAGGATGCCCTTAAGCCTGTAAAAGGTGGGTGCTACGCTATGTACATACGAGTATATGGTAAACAATAAATTTACTTTTTAGATCCCTCGGTTAGGGAATCGAATATCTGCTGTCAGCGATTGGAGGACATCGTGGATCGCCATAATGAAATTGAGCAGATTGTCAAGGAATTTTCAGGAATCATGGCTGCTCCCACCTTTGTTCACTTTGTATCAGCCAGCTTAGTGATAGCCACCAGCGTCATTGATATACTATTGGTAATAGCCGTCCTTTCAGTGTTACCAATCAGTGCTACAAATCATTCTTTTAGTATTCCGGCTATAACATCATCCGCTACGTGGTGTACACCTTCACGGTTTCCTCGGCCATATTCCTCTATTGCTATGGAGGCACAGAAATGTCAACCGAGGTGCGTTCGCCGAATCCCTTGAGTGACCTTTGATTTTCCCCTCCCACTTCTAGAGTCTATCCTTGGGAGAAACCGCCTACAGCTGTGCCTGGTATACTTGGGATCGGGAGGTCCGCAGGCGGGTCTTCCTCATCATCCTGCGAGCTCAGCGACCCATGACAGTAAGGGTGCCTTTTTTTGCACCTTCGTTACCAGTCTTCACATCGGTGGGCTGCAATCTGCTTTGCTGAGTGCACTTCATTAACGAAAACCCTATTTTAGGTCATCAAGTTTACAGGTTCCATTGTGGCACTGGCTAAGACTATATTGTGAAAGGAATGCTCAATTAAAAAAACATCATGCACTTAAGTTCAATGGCTACTCTTTAAATAAGTTTGTGGTTGCAGCCTAGCCCGAAAGTATGCAATTCACACAATACAAGTCATTTGCTAGCCGGGGTCAAGGGTTCAAGTGTGGCATTAAAGCGCTTGTGGTGAAGTTCGGACCATAAAGTTGCCCAGTAGCAATGAAGCCATTTATTCTTCATCGTTGAACAAAGCTACTGGCTAGTTAACAATGGTTAGTTAACAATGTTCAAAGATTGAGGGAAACAGGATTGTCCGGCTTCAGATTGATTACGTATCTAGGTCGTATACGCAATCGGTTACTCACAGCCATATAGAGCTTGGAACTTAGGCACGTGAGTGTGATTTGGCATCGGTTTTGGCCTGGCCTACGACTTCTGTCAACTTATTCGTGGCCAGCCATAAACGATGATTTGATTGAACCGTCTAGATTAGTTTCCTTTGATTAGATTTATTCTGATACTGAGCGATAGCTCCGAGGCAGTGTCCAATTCCTTGGTCGCCAATCGGTTCAGTCTTTAACAAAGGTCTGACCTCCACACAAGTTACCAAGTTAACTTGGATTAGCCGAAAATGGCCAGGAGATACATTCTTTTGCTCGTCGTAGCTGTCTGCCTGAGCGGAATCGCCAGCGGACAAAGAGGTAAGTGCTCTGATCCTGGATTTTGGAATTTTAGGAATATTTGGAAAACGTTGGGGTATTTTATTTATTTAGTTTGGCACACCAGTTCAGGAAATTGCTTCTTGAAGGAGTGCAACTAGTTCTCGTAATTAAAACTAATTGCTATACAGATGACTATAATTAATTAACCAAAGTGATTGAAACCATAGGACCAAGTCCCAAAGGATTTTGTCGTTATTTTAGCAACTAACTTATATTAGCGATAGTAAGTTTCAGCGTGTAGGACCAGGTACTTTAAGATTAAGTTCTATAAAAAAATTCCTATCGCCCATGTTTACTGGTAAAACATGTGTGGAGATAAGACTCAATTAATCCCAAAATCAAAATTATTTATGATCTTTCCATTTCTTACCAATGGCTTACCATTTTTTTTTAGTAATAATATCGCTTATTAATTAGAATTCAAAAAGTATTTTAACCATTTTACGTACTCAATATGAAGAACTGGGTTGGTATGTAATGCTCAGCACTTCCTTTTTAACTGTCTTTTGTTATCGGTGTAGACCACCCTCGAGGGCGTTCCTTTGATGCCGAATCGCATCCCATCAAGCATGCGGAGGAGCAGCAGACCCAGTATTGGGTGGATAAGGCCCAGGCGAAGCTGCTATCGAAACTGGCCGAGGAGCAGTCGGCGACCACCAACAAGGCAAAGAATGTGATTATGTTCCTGGGCGATGGGATGTCCGTTCACACGGTCACGGCCACCCGGAATCTGCTGGGCGACAGTGCGGAGCAGGTGTACTTCGAGGGATTTCCGTACACTGGCTTGTCCAAGACGTACTGCGTGAACCGCCAGGTGGCCGATTCCGCCTGCACGGCCACTGCCTACTTGGGTGGTGTGAAGGCGAACTATGGAACCATTGGCGTGAACGCCAATGTGTCCAGGTACAGCTGTGATGGCGCCGCAAACGAGGAGGATAGGGTGCTCAGCATCGCGCAGTGGGCACAGGCGGCTGGCAAGGACGCGGGACTGGTCACCACAGCCAGGGTGACACACGCATCGCCGGCTGGCGTTTATGCCCACATCGCAGATCGCAATTGGGAGAACGACTGGGAGGTGGCCAACGGGAATTGCGATCCCGAGCAGACCATAGATATTGCCCGCCAGCTCGTGGAGCAGCCTGTGGGTCAGCAGCTGAAGGTAATCCTTGGCGGTGGCCGCAAGAACTTCATCAGCACTACGGTGAACGATGAGGAGGGATATCCCGGCAAGCGTACCGACGGTCGCCACTTAATCCGCAGCTGGTTGGATCAGAAGAAGGAGGCCAATGTGTCAGCCAAATATGTCTGGAGTCGCAAGGGACTCAGTCAGGTGGATCTCGAGAATACGGACTACCTCCTGGGTCTCTTTGCCAACGACCACCTGCCGTACAATGGTGATCGGGACAGGAAACGTAGTCAGTTGGCGGATCCCTCGCTGAGTGAGCTCACGGAGGCTGCCATCAAGGTTTTGAGCCGCAATGACAAGGGATTCTTCCTCTTCGTCGAGGGTGCTCGTATCGACATGGCCCACCACGACACCTTCGCCAGGAGATCCCTCGAGGACACCGCCGAGTTTGCGAGGGCGGTCCAAATGGCACGCGAACTTACCTCCGAGGATGACACACTGATCGTAGTGACTGCCGATCATGCTCATGTTATGTCCATCAATGGTTATCCTGTGAGTAGCTGGAGGTTTCCCTTTTCAAAACAACATAGGTATTTGACTTGTGAATTGTTTATTCCGGCAGTATCGTGACCAGGAGATCACCGGATTGGCTCAGCTGGCGGATGATAATCTGCCCTATACGATTTTGTCCTATGCCAACGGACCTGGCTACTACTCTGGATACAATCGTGCCGAGGGACGCGCCCTTCTAAAGGAGAAGTTGGTAGCGGACTCGGACTATCGGTATCCCACGCTGGCGCCCCTGGATGCCGAAACCCACGGCGGAGACGATGTGGCGGTGTACGCCTCGGGACCCTATGCCCAGTACTTCAGTGGCAACTACGAGCAGAGCAATATTCCGGCTATGATGGCGAGAGCAGCGGGTATCGGTCCCTTTGCCTAGGATCAGACTGCTTTTCTTGGCATATGTAAAAGTCGTCTCGGTGAAATGGAATAATTAAAATGCATCATTGCCAAACGAATCTTGCATGGAAAACTGTTTCGGGTATGGGCAAATCGAATTCCGTCTAATTGAACTGACAAGCTGTGCAATTTCCTGTGGAGCAGGGGAGCTGCCCCCCAATAAATGCCACCTGACGGCAAATTCAATTAACTGGCAATGGCAACTGGCATCTGACAACCTGCAGGCAGCCCCAATCAGTCAGCTGCAATCACTTTGGGGCTGAGCCAATTGACCAGGTGGTTTCTGGCCAAATGAAGAGAAAATCGCGGCCCAAATGAACGGCCGCCATCAGCCGTTTCATGTTTCATCATAAATCCGAGAAAATGTGACATTCAAATGGAATTCATCGAGAATCCGTGCATTTCCTGAGTGAAGGGTGGCTATGAATATCTAAGGGGATATAATTGTCATGGGCTTTGATAACACCACCCAAGCGATATTTAAAAGTTGATAGTACCAGGAGAGCACAAAAAACCTACGCAAATACATTTTTGTACATTATTGCAATGGAAGGAGCTCAGAACATGTTCTTCTAGACCATTTGAATATATATCAACAATATTTCATGTATCAACTTAGAATTTAATTCATTTTATATTCATGTAAGATAATCAGGGACCCTAGAGTATCTAAAGACATAAAGTCCATTTTATATCATTTTGATGCTTTAAGCCTATTTCCAAATAATTTCCCATGGCAACCCCGTTCGAATGATTGAATTAGGATTCCCATTTGGTGTTAACATGCGGGAAGAATTGGAAATGGTATGTGTTCCATTTCCGATTTAACTTGATCTGTGACAGAATTTTATTTTCTGGCAATTTCCGCTACAATTTCAGCTGAAGAGGAGCCTCTATGCTCACTGAGTCTCGATTTGTGCGGTCAAGAAGAGCCCAGTTGCAACTGGAATGGGCCTAAACACAGGGTTTTGGTCAAAGCGGCGGTGCAACGGGCCTAGAGAAACAGAAACTGGGTCATCAAGAGTGCTGGCAAATAGGGGGCAAATAGCTCCAAAGAAATGCAGCTGCGGTCTGGTTCTTGGATTTTCAACCGCAAAGCGAGGGGGAAGGAAGGTGGGGGGTTCTACCAATTATGTATATCTGTATCTGCAGGGACAGAAGAAGAGAAGAGAAAAAACTAATGGCAGCATACACAAAAGTTGCTCACAACTAATGGTGCTGCTTTTTAGCTGACTCAGCCAAGAAGCTTGCCGCAAAGATACAAAGATACGCCGTCACAGATACAAAAAACACGTGACTGTGTTGGAGCAACTGGACTGAACTGGCGAGCTTTTTAACGAAACTCCATATCCGGCTCTCTCGCACGGCGCGCGCACACTTCTAAGCCGATTTAAATGGCCATGTAGAGCCACAAAGCTGCAGCGCCTCTCTTTCGCTTTTTGTATCTTTCGGATACATGCGACGCGGATTGGGGGCCACATAATGTACGGCCAGGGCAGTAGGGGAATTTTTTGCTTTTGCGCAGCGACGTCGGCAGAGCGCTAAGTGTGCCACATTCTGTTTCCAAGCGCTCTCACAGATACGCCACACACACACGCTTAGGCAGCTCGGTGGGCATTTTTTTGTACTCTACACTATACACTCGACAAAAATTCGCCTCGTCATGTGAATCTTGGCTGCCAAAGAAAAATGCCATTTACTTTAAGCCTAGCTGAAAGTAATATTAATTAGGTGTATTTTTAGTTGCGAAATACAGAAGAAACGAAAAGTAACAGGGCTGGAAAGGGAACATTTTGTTTCTGGGCTACTTTTTTGAAGAGTGCACTCTACACCAGTGTCGTTTATCAGCCTTATGACAAATTCATGTGAATTGGCAACGAAAGCAAGCGGCGGCGGGAACACTGCGATGACTGCAGCATTTCAATTAATGCTGAATTCGTGTCGCACAATAGATACATAGATACAGCCGCACATTTGGGCTTTCCAAGCTGCGGCCGCTCCCTCCGCATTTATCGACGTTTGTGTTTTTGTGTTTACTTAACCCAAATGCGCCCCAACAACCCAACGAGCCAGAGAGGGGGGGGGGGGGGTTATGTAAGCCAGGGTGCGGAAGTGGGCTACATATGTACTAAGTATGTACGAGTATGTGGGGGCCGCCTTTGCTCCAATGAAACGAGCTTTTTTAAGTGTTTGCCCCCCCACACACACACATTCCGTATGGAACACAAGGGAACAAAGTAGTAGCTCAAATGCAGGGCTTTTTTAAAATTTTGCCATTTATACATTTAATATTTGTTTTGTATACATATTAATTTTTATATATATATATTGTTTTCTTAATGCATACCGTTACTTATATCGATTTTAATGGATTATTATTTATCAATGTAGATTTGTTGTGGGTTTCTTGTGTCGCAGCTTTCGTTAATGAATGTGTCGGTCGATCGGTGAACGAATGTCTGTACATCCATCATATACATACTTCTAGCCATTGCAAAACGGAATTAGTCTATAAATGAGTTGGGCCTTTGGCTAAAAAGCTAGCCCCTTCCTCCTTCCACCATCGTCTACTCTCTACTCTCTTCTACACCCATCGCTTTCTACATGTGCACTTTGCTTCACTCAGCTTCAGGCTTCAATTCAGTTTAATTCAAAATAGATTTGACTTGCGTTAATACATACGTTAATGAATGTTCATTTGCGGTAGTGACTACTAACTAATAGATTTGCTTTGCTGCAGGCTGCCGAGTGTCGAGTGGGAGAGGGACTGAATAACACGTACATACATAACTCGCAAATTGCCTAACGTAGGATAATGAATTTAGAATTGATCTCGCTTCGCTGCCCTTCACCCTTCCACCTACCACCTACCACCTGACACCCACTGCGCATCAATCGAATTCGATTTACGTTACGTATTTATATTAAGAAATACATATTTTATATATTTATATAAAGATCTGATCTATATAGATAATGGCTTCGACTCAGCGCCGCGCTCTCTCTACATCTTTCTGATTCTAACAGCGTTTATCTTTACATGGATGATCGATTATACGTTTAACAAGCTAGAGGTGTTCAATGTATTTCCATTTCAGTTAATAATCAGTTCATAAAATTATGTAGGTTAAAACAAAACGTATCGCTTACATTGCGTATAAGAAGATCAAACATTGGTTGGTTCTGGTTAATGTTGCAGTGGCTGCTCTTGTTGTGCGGAAACATTTTAAAAAGTTAACGTATACGAGTAGACTAACTGAGGGACTCTTAGAGGTTACGAATTTGCAAATGATACATCATTGAGTTGGGCTGGGAGGTAAGCTACTTTGACAACTCGAATTATTATTGACTTGAGGATCTTTTTTTTAACTTTCTGCTTCTGCTCTTCCATTCACGTCTATAAATATCGCTCTCAGCGGCGTTGAGAGTAGGTTTACTCGGTCTCTGTTTCCTGGTTCCATCGCTTTTCAATATGTGTACACAAATTTCATATGTGACCGTTCGCATTTGTTAGTTTTTTCGCATTTTCATCGTACATTTTGCCATTTTTTTTGTAGAAAATATTTTTCCTTTTTCGATTTTCATTTTTTTTTTCTTTTGTTTTTCGCTTTTCTGTTTTAATCTGATTTGATTGATTTCTTTACACAGTATCTGTCATCAACACTTTAACGCCTTCATCTACCATTTATAATACAACTCAATTAAAAATTTGTAACATTCCCCGGCAAAGGGGGAGGCATTTAAAATATCGCTTCCGTTCGTTTAAATACATGTCGATTTTCGGTTTCCAGCACAGCAGTTGGCCTGGCCTGCTGTTTCCCTATTCTTATTGTTGCGGTTGTTTTGTAAATGTTTGTGTGTGCTGTTTGTTTGCTGATTTCACTGTCTCCTTAAAACGATTTGCTACGAACTAAACACAGTAATGGTTAGTAGAATTCAATGAATGCTGTACTGTGTGGTGTGGTGTTGTGGTGGTGTGCTGCCCAGGCAGCTACTGCCTGCGTCTGGGTCTCGCGCAGACCTCCAGGCAGAAGCGTCGGACGGTGGCGTTTTCTCAGTTGATGTTGGCTACCTCCTGGGCCTCGCCATCGACGACTGGCATGTTCAACTGCTGGGTGACGTTCGACTTGGCCAGACAGGACCGGGCCACCGATTCAAAGAGCCTACGGAATATGAAAAACACGTTGCGGTTTAATATGAAGTCGTTTCGCTTAGTGGAACGTAGAGATTTGCTTACTAAAAAGTTATATTTTCATTGATTAATGCTAAATTGTATAAAATAGGAGTTTACAAACAAATACAAAGAAAGGTAACATGCAAAATGAGTGGAATGGGGCTGGTTGATTCGCTTTAAGATCGAACTTGATTTCTTGCTACGATGCACACTGAATGCCAATTGAATTCTCAAGTCGCTTAACTACAATCAAACATTCACCGAAATATCTGAAAACAGAAGGGGTGATAGAATGTAAGTTAGGTAAGAATTTGGGTTAGAAATGGTAAAAGCCGTGTTCGTTATTTGCGTGCAATGCAAATCTACTACAAACTACATATAATGGGCCTAGCGGGTATTCGGTGTGGATCAATTTGATTAACATTAAAGATAAAAAAAAACCATCTATCAGGCGAACTCACTTGGTAATCTCTGGCGCACAGTGCACAAAGTCATGGTCCCAGAACTTGTAGATGGGATTTTTGATCAGCTCAATAAAAGTGATCAGCAGTCCCCAAGGATGCGGGCGATTAACGATCAAACGTTCCAGAAGCACGCGAGTGATCTGCTCCTGAATTGCCTCCGAGTTGGCCTCGGCAAACAGATGCAACACGGCACAGCTGAAGTAGTGTGTGTGGCTGTTGGGATAGCGCAACTGGTTCGCAATAGCATTCAAGAACAAATAGCGACCCTCCGTATCCAAATCAACAGCCAGATTCTGAAAGATATCCATGTGAGCGCTGTGTGCTATGTTGGAGGTGTTGGGCACAAAGTTTTTGTTTCTGAAAGTTTTCATCTCGATTAGCAAACAATTTCGCTGAGTAGCTTAACATTTAGAACTCACCTGATTAAAGCAATCGCTTGGGTTCCCACATACATGACCAGAGCATTCATCAGAGCCATATTGTAACGAGTTCCTGGCTCGCTGGTCACCTGCAAGTGACCACGTAACTCCGAGAGGAAAGTAACCGGCGCCCGAGCCTTGAGGTACGAGTCCAAATCCTTCTTGAAGTTTGCCGGCTGGATGTTCATAATGTAGCTGCTGAGCACCTTAGGTGCATTACTACTGTCCGACAGCATATCCACCTTTAGGTTGGGCGTGAAGGGATCGGGCAAGCGCATGTTGCGCGGAAACGCCGACAGGATGATGTTACGCATCTGGACGCAGTTGGGCGGGATGGTGTCACAGAAGCCAAAATGATAGTCGCACAAGAACTCAGGGAAGTCGTGAAGTAGAACGAGTAAAACACGTAGCGTCCCCTTGTATAAAAGTTGGACTGGTTTGCCGAGCTCAGTGTTCCGTAAGAAGGGCGCAAGATATTTAAAGAGGTCTTGCAACAATTGAGCGTAAAGTGGCCAGCCCTTTTGCCCGGGAATTTGGACGAGGATGCGACCCAGAAAGACGCGATGCGAAATGAGCTCCAACCAAGCAAAGCAGAAGCCCGGAGCCACGCTGGGATTCAACAAGTGATATGTGTAGGCGAAGGCCGACACAATGCTGTGCATCAGAGACTCGAGTATCGCATCGGCCGAGCACAGCTCCATGAACAGCATCATGAAGAAGCGATGGTAGCCAACCTGCTGGAAGCTCACGCCGCGCATCTCATGGTCCTTAAGCAGCGTTCCCAGCACAATGCCCAACACTTTGTTTAACAGGTTGATCTTGGTAGTTGGATTACCTGCTTCACCTGAGTGTCGCACGAGCATTGCGATCAGATGGACGAACGCATCAATCCACTGGAATATCTTGTTCTTGGCCTGGTTGATTGGTAAACTTGGCTCGGCGAACATTCTGTACACAACATCCGTGCAAATGTGTGTGGCCTGGCGGAAAAAACGGGTAATCAAGTCGTCCGTCTTCAGAATGCCATATGTGTTCATTTTTTGGACAAATGCCCCGAAGTTGCGTGCATCGCGTGTAGACTGCTGGTTTTGTTGTGTATACAGTGCAACCCAATCCTTAAGCAGAAACTCTGTCTTCTCTTGCAAGCCCGGCGGATCATCTGTATCGCATGACTAATAAAAGCGTTTCGTTAGCAATTTGCTATGAAATTTTTTAAAACAAAATTATATTTTCGTCCTTACCCTGACGTGATGCATGCCGGAGTGGATGTAGTGTGAGGCTCCAGACAAGTAACGCTCACTGCCGTTGAACGGGCTGTAGTCGCTGCTTGAGTTGAAGTTTCCGCTCCACAGCGTATCAATAGCATTCACAATGCATTCTGGATACCGATGGCGATGCTGAGTGAGCCTACCTAACAGCTCAACAGTGGCCATGAATTCGTTGTCCGAAACAATGTTAATCACTCGATCGTCCATGATAAGACGCTCCAGCAGTGCGATACCAAACGATATGGCCACATAATTGTTGCCGTTGTCCATGCAGTCGCGTAGCATTACGTCAAACTGATTGAGATTGACAAAGTGCGACGTTATCAGTGCGCGAGCTGCCTCTACGTTATATCGCACCTCCTCTCGGATGTCGAAGAAACACTTTGTCACCGCTCGCTCTGTGTTCGGAGCACCAAAACTGTTGTGCAGCAAGCCAATGATACGGAGATGGATGTTTTGATACAGCTTCATTTGTTCCATGTTTTCATGCATGTTAACTAATCCTTCGGTCAAACCCTCGACCGCACGAGTCACCAGATTGAAGGCGGACTCCTGGTCACGCAGTCGACGCGTCGCCATCAGTGCGTTGAGTAGCATGTGCATCTTGCTAGCCTGGATCTGGAGTGATGGCACACCCATTACCGTGTTCATGAAGGTCTCCATTTTGCTTGCTAGTTCCGCGTATACCATGCTGCTCTCATCATTAGCAAACACATTTGGCTGAGACAAATCCGTCGGCTTGGGCACAAATAGGGCAATATCCCGATCGCTCATCTGCTGGAAGCCAGGTATGCTCCTGGCGAATTCCGAGTACACAGCATAAAGTGTAGCTGGAGCCGGGCCAACCTTGATGCGCACTGCTTCTGGAAGACGCTCCTGTTGATAGCTGAGAATTTGGGCGTCCACAAAACGGTTGCCTTCTTCACGAGCAATTTTTCTGGTCTCGAAATCGGTGCTTAGACGCCTATCAATCTCAGCCGCTGCCTTTTCAGCCGATGTTTTCTGAATGAAGGCGCAAACCAGCTCAACATTTTCGCTGGCCAGCTGCATAGCAGCAGCTTGAATCTCCGCCATGCTGGGCATCCCATTTAGAGCCGACAGCAAGGCCTTGTGCAGATTTTGGCTAATAGCACGCGCTATCTCATCCTTACCGGTAATCATAGCCATGCCGGCGGCCAGGTTTCGTACCATCTGATGAGCGGCAGTGCGCATTCGGTTCTCGTCAGCATCTAAGGCGAAGTCCTTGCGGATGATCTGCTCGGTGGTGGCACAGGCAATGCGGATGCTTCGGTCCACAATAGGCTGCAACCAGTCGGTTATCGTGCGCTCCACGGCGTTGACCACAATATGTTTGATTCCGGGATTGGCGTGCAGGAACGGTGTATTGGGTGGCAGTACCAACTGCTGACCAATAAGCTGGAAGTTGCTCACATTTACATCCACGTACGAATAGCGCGGCTCTGGTGGCGGTAGTACCACTTGGCTGGGATCGGTTGGTAAATTGGGCGAAGATACTGATCCAGGAGTACTATTAGCTCCCCCTGCTACCATCATCATAGCGGCAGCATTTTGAGCGTCCACGTCCGCAGAGGATGGCGGTGGAGGTGCCTGCTGCGGCGGCGGCTGCGGTTGTTGTTGCTGTTGTGGTGGCGGCGGCGGTTGTGCCGGGGATGGCTGTTCACGCGGTAGAGTGGGTGCAGGAGCCACTGCCTCAAGTTGTTTCGGTTTCGGTTGCGACATCTGCTGTTCAATAAGAAGAGCTCGACTGGGATCCTTCAGGTAGATCACTGGTCGCAACTTCGCCAACTCCAGATTAAGCGTTTTGCACAGTACTTCGATTTCAAACTTGAGGTTCAGTTTGAGGTCTGGCTCCTGGTGAAGCTCACCAAGCACGTACATGATACCCATTGTCCATGGATTGGGCGATCGGAAGATGCGAGACTTGGCGGATGACTCAAGGATCTTGGCTACGAAAGGAACCACAAATAGCAGTTCCTGCTGGCCCTTATGGTAAGCTTCAGCCAAGAGGGATTTAAGATCTAGGTCCAACTGCAGGATGGGGCGATTGCGACCTAAGGTCATCATGCCCAACCAGTGTCCGAGGTTCTTCAACAGACTCCGATCGGAAAAATTAATAACTCCCTTATCGGAGCGCAAGAGTACCTTGATGTTGCGTAGGGTCTCTTTGGTAACGAATCGGTTGATCTCGCCGTTCTTAAGGGCATCCAAAAAGTTGTAATAGAGTGTGTGGAAGTTAAACTCCATTGATGCGCGTTTGAGGACCAAATATTGCGCTAGCCACGGCCAATACTCCTTGGTCATAATCTCCTTTATCTCATCGCACTTCTGCGGTATGTTCAGCTGGCTCAGGTTGTTGAAAATAAAGGCAGTTTTGTCCTGTACAGGTTCGGGAGGCACAGTCACTTTCTCTTCCTGATTGGCCACTAAAAGTGTGTCGATATTGGTGGCATTGGCGATGGACTTCATTCTCGTGGCATGCGACATAGCAGAGCTTGATTTCGGCCCTGATCCCGGTGTGCTGGCGGGCATATTACCTAAAAAAGAATAATTGGAATAATGTCGTATATCGATTTAGTTATATAGATTAAGATTTAGTTTAACATCAATGTTTTGTATAATACTACGAAAACCTAATTTATGCAAATTACTCATAATTACCTAACATGGAGCTGTTCCTGTAAATTGGTTCCGTTACTGGACCGGTGGATATCGCAGAAGGAATCGTATTGCTGAGGCCAATCAACTTCTGCGGCGGCGGCTCCTGGCCATGCATTCCGTATTCCACATACTGAATAAGGTGCGGCGGGAAGTCTGAGAAGTGAGGAATGGAGCGGATATGCTCGCAGTATTTGTTGTAGGTGTGCAATCGAGTTCTGAACCTGTCTAGTGCGGTCACACCGAAATAGTAAAGCTTGGATCCATCGGGCTTCCGGAGAGCGTCCAAAACACAGCGCAGAGAAAGGCCCAGAGCTACAAAAGTGGGCACCAGGTTTCGGTCAATAATGCCACCAAATAGCTGCGCAGTAATCTGCAGCTCTTTCTCTGGATATTGACAGAAAAAGCGATATTCCTCGAAAAGATTGCGCAGCATACACAAAAAGACTTCCTGCTCTCGCCGGTTACTTGACTCTTTAAATCGTTGCAAAATGTCCAGCACTTCATCGATGGACAGCGTTGGATTCGGCTGGTGGTTGTAGATGCGTTGAAAGTAAGAGTTGACCTCGTCTTCAACTTCCTTCGACACAGGTATCTGGAGATCGGCCATCACAGGGTTGTTTGGATTGGGGGCCGTTGGAGTTGGCGTTGGAGTCTGCTGTTGTGGACCCCCTGGCAGCATGCGGCCAAGGTTTCCTACATTGGGTGGTGGTGGAGCTTGCGGCATCTGCATGAGGTTTAGCGGATAGGGATTGGCTCCCGGAGTCATCAGACGCGATGGAGAGGCTAAAATTGCAACGAAGAATTTATGATTAAATAACATCTGGAATAGATTATGCATTCTTTGAATATGAATTTCAAATGAATGCCACTTACTCAGCATGTTGCCAAAATTAAATGCTCCGTTCGGGCCGCTCAAGTTCAGGCCGGCTATGTTGTTGGACATATTTGTCAGCGGATCCATTCCAGGTCCGAACATCTGCGCGTTGAGGTTTCCGGAGAACGGTTGCTGCGGTGGCGGGGGGACAATTCCTCCAGGCAGATCCATACCACGATGGCCGCGCAGAATTGTTGGTGGTGGCGGCGGAACCAATCCTGGCTGCTGCTGTTGGGCACGCGCCTTGTTAGCCATAATGGCCACGTTCGCGGTCATTTGCATGATGACTTCGACCATCTCCGGCTGCATGCAGTTATTGATGCACGTTTGCAGACAGTTGATCATGGTGGTAACTGTCTCGGGCAAGAGCTGTGTCTGCTTGGGAGGCAGCTGGTCTTCTGGCACTTTGGCGTTGATAACCTGCGGGCAGCGGCGGTGCAGAACCTTGATTATAGCCTGCATAAAAGGCTCCCCGTGTTCGCGAATTTTATCGGTAAGCCACTTTTCCAGCTTCAGGTACTCGCGCCGAGAGGCAAGGCAAGCCAGGTCGATAATGAATAAAAAGGAGCGGGCGTTGAGCAGCGCGGATAGCGCTTTTAAATCCTGGGCAAGATCCAAGATGCGCGACAGTTTCACCTGATCGAACTCATTGCCTCGCAGATACCACTCGGACATAGCATTCATGATATTGGAACGAAGTTGGAAGTTATTCGAGCTCCAGGCGCTGGCCAAGATCACGTTCGAGTTGGGGTGGTTGCCAAGGAACGTTGGTATCAGTTGGTTAAATAGATCCTGACGCAGTGGCGTCATCGGCGGATTTGTGTTCAATAAGGCCAAAAACAGAACATCTGGACAGTTCTGCGCTGGGAACTTGAATAGCTCATGGACCTGCGTATAGTATCCCTTGTCCGCAATGGAGAGTAACACCTCCAAAAGGTGAAGCGACTTCCAGGCCGAGATCTCCTTATTGTCCGCATCCGGAGCCGTCTTAAGCACATCCAACGCTGGTTGGCTAAATACAAAGTCAGCGAAGGAGAAGAGATCCGGGTTCTTCAGCATTGTCGCGATAAGCGAAAGCTGACCTTCCGTGTTTGCCCAGTGACGGTAAATGCATTCTGGATGTGGAAATATGTTAGAGCCAGTGGCTAGCCGAAGGATGGTGAGCAATAGCTCCAAACCGATGCGATCCTTCAGCACGAACTCGGGATGATCAAGTTCTATAAATTATGAATGATATTCATTTAGATTGGTCATTGCGAAGCAATTATCTATCTATTACCCATGCACACGTCCTTCCAGTTGAGCTGAGGCACCACCTCCTTGAGCGCCTGCACAAAGACATCTGGTTTCCAAGTTTGCGTGGCCTCCGTCGTCTCCTTCTTGTCCTTCTTATCACTGGACGAATTGCCATCGCTGCCATCGTTGTTGTTACTGCTGCCCGGGGTCTGTTGCTGCGGAGTGATTTGTGTCTGCGAAGAGCCACTGCTGTTGCTGCCAGCGCCCTGCCCCTGACCAGGCCAGAAGTTTGCCGGCGTCGGTAGATTCACATTACAATCGAGGAGGGACGAGTGCCTGCGGCACATAAGACCCACGATCTTGGCAACATCTTTGGACTGGAGCTCAGCGCGTTCTCGCTCACGGGAACACAAATGATTTTTACACTCTTCAACGCTCGATGTAAATTCATAACCGATTTCAAGGATTAGATTAATCCAAGATGTGTCCATAATATTATTTTTGCCCTGTAACATAAGATTTAATAAACAAATTTTCTTTTAAATATAATATAAGTTGCTTACGCACCTGGTTGGTGAATATTATCTCGCTTAAATGGTCATAAATATCCTCGATTCCCACCTCGTTCAGAGCATCTGCCTCGGAACTGGAGCTGTTGCTGCTAGTCGTCGCTTCGGCCTCCGCATCCGTTTCGCTGGCACCTGCTCCCGCAATCGTCGCCGTCGTCGAGCTGTACAGAAACGGCGCTAGAACCAGCGGTACCGCCTGGCGAGGAAACTCCTCCCGAAGCTTTTCCAAAAACTGTGCTTCCAGCTGCGGTTTTACGTACTCGCTAAGGCAGCACAATAAATACTGCAGTAGATCGAAGGAGATCTCCTGAAGACCGCTGCTAGCAGGACTGCTACTGTTTTTACCCAAATAAGAGTCGATCAGTTCGCTGAGGCTACCTGTTAGATTGTTCCTGGCCGAATGTCTGAGTTCTGTGTACGAGGAGTGGGTCACGGCCAAGGCGAAGACGCACTCACAAACCTTGTTGATGCCGGTCAGTCGGGCGACTTGGCCAACGATATCCGCTACCGTAGCGGGCTTTAAGGACTGCTCAGGAATGAGAATCCATAAGTAATTAAATCAGTTTTGACGTTATACAGAACTCACCTTCTGGTTGCTGGCGAAGTACTGGTCAAAAGCGTAGCAGATGTTGGATACAAACGAAGAACTCTGCAGCTGCCGCTGCAACTGGGCGCCCAGAAGCTTCGCCTGCAGCTGAACGGTAAATGATGGCGCAGGATCGCTGAAGCTAATCACGGAGAACAGGTGGCGCAGGCTGCTGCGATCCGCTTCCAGGCCGTGCTCTTTAACGAACTGCAAGATGTCGGAGAAGCTATCAGTATCGGCTGGTTTAGTATCGAAGAAAGGCATTGCACAGGGTTTTGAAATCAGTAGAAGTGCCTTGACAGCGACTGCCCGCAATCTGGGACACATATCACTGTATAACGGACAGTGAATGTATCAAATGATTCCTCAGATTCTGCAGTGACCGGGATTTTTTTATGTGATTTTCATCGCAAACTTGGAAATTTTGACAGTTTCTATTATGTTCTGTGAGTGTCTCAATTTTTCTCTGTTCGGCTGGAAATGTGTACTCGGTTACAAGGCGAGATCTAAAGTAACATTTTGGATGGGGTATTTTTAATTCAAGGCAACTGCTTTCAAAAATAAAATCATTTTGCCATTATTTCCTTGCCCGCCAAAAAATAATATCACTCTTTAGATAATTGGCTTTTAAAACGCGGAATCTAAAGTTAAACGAATGAATTTTATTACTGGAAATTCAACTTTAGGTTCCTGAGAATATCTTGAATGTTATAACTCTATGGAAACACAAATTGGGATATCGTTAGGATGTGTTAATTTATTTTCTAACTGGTAATTGCTAAGTACTTGATTTTTTTAGACTAATTGTCGTCTTCATATAATGCAACAAACTCCACTGTTCTTAATAAAAATCCAGTGTACCACTGTATTATTCTAGTACTTCACCACACGCAGATTTCCAATAGTAAATAACAGTGGAAAAATAAGGTAATCCCTGTTTGCGTTCGCATAACTTTGCAACTCATCAGGCTGTTTAAAATGAAAACATTGATTATGTGAGTCTCGTTTTGTTATAATCATCTATTAAATTGAATTATTGAGGTCTGACAGATACTATGCATATACAAATAACAATTACTTGTAGGAGATTGTTGGGTAAATGGGGCCATTCTAAATCGAGTATTTGTTATGATACTAATTTGAATGCGAAAACTTTGCGAGGTTGCCAGATATCCCCTGTCCCTCATCCGGGACCCAAAACTGTTGAAATATGTGATCCGGAGTTCGGAGTCCGGACTCAAGGCCTCTTCGAGCGGGGGAGCGAGACAACAGCTGTGGTTCCGCCGTCGCAGCTGCTCCACAACAAATTACCCTCGCGCCCTCTCGCTCGTACGCGCTGGCAAAACGTTACATGGATGAGGAGAGGAGAGAACATGACGGTGCGAGAAAGGAAGGGGGTCACAGGAAAAAGTGCGACATATTGCAACTCTAGCGAAAAGAAAGCGGCCGCAATTGATATTCCCACGAAATTTATACCACGAACTTACTATTTAAGTTGGTCTCTCGATTGGCAATGGAAAAATTGAAGTTTCGGGGCCGAAAAGCCCTTCGCTTGGCTTGGTCTTCCCAATTCGATTTTTGCAACTCGATTTCGCACTACTCCGCTGCGAATTTCACACTGCCGACCACTCACGAAACACGTGCGTGGCTAAGCGCACACAATTAGCCTGGTTTTACACATTCTAGAAGACTTTTAGCTTAAACAAAACGCTCACAAAACGCGCAACGCCGTGCAGTTAAATTTTTTCAGCTGCCTTTACCAAAAACTGTAATGGCGTCGGCAAAAATGCACGAGCGAGTGAAATGGCAATAGTGCTCTCGGCAATGCTCTAGCCAACTCGTGAGTGCGAACAATTGGCAACTCTGGTTGGCCAGGTGCGATATGTTTTCGATTTGGCAACACTACCCCCCACCACCTTGTTGTTGTTATTGTTGACAAAATAAATTGAAAATGGTTCATGGAAACGTTAGTAGAATAACTTGGGGCACCCACCTGCTTTATTTGTTCGCTGCTCTCATTAAAATTTCGCTTGTTCACGTGCTTGACCAGATTTCGTATGTGCGTTAGCGGTGTCTTCAGTTGGCTCTCTACGTTCATAATTCTACGTATCAGTTGTCAATTCCTCAGCGGATGTTTCTTGTTGCTGTTGTTTTTGTTTGGGGGCCACTAGAATTTTTTGTTGAGCACACACGTTTAGTGTGCACTGGTATTGGAGATTAGAGATATTTGACGTATTCGCTGTTGCGTCTTCTGCTTCTTGGCGCTTTTCTTTTCACCTACGGCGTAATTTGTTTTTGTCTCTGCCTTCCTCGTTTTTTTTTTTTTTTTTTTTGTTCTTTTTTTGGGCTGTAGATTCATTGGCCGCGGCCCCCGTATAAAAGGGGCCATCAGCAGCTCTACATCGGACGCGGCATCTATTTACGCATAAATCGAATAAACAATAAGCTCGTGTTCATGGTCCGGGAGAAATCCGATTGGCTTTGTCCTCGTCCCAATATGTACAATATTGCAATAGCTCACGTAATGAAACAATATGAATCAATCCGCACGTACAGCGAAAACAGAAATGAAAAAAATACTACTACTACCGCACACACGCACGCATACACGGGCAAGGGGACAGAATATATGGTTGCTCTTCGTCGGCCTCCTCTTCCACTTCCTTCCGGTCCTTTTGTGGTTCCGGGTCGTGTTTTGGTCTCGTTTGTATTTGTTTGCTGGGAAAATAACTTCAGATTTGTTTGCACTCGTGGATTTCTTAATTATTGCCGAAAATGAAAATTATGCATTCGCTTGGAAGCGTGTTCAAAACCCGATAGTTCAGTCACGACTGCTTGGCACTCACAACGAATATTAACAAATCTCGATTTCGTGATTGAAATCCCTAACGCCTTAAATAAATTATACCAGAAAAGCAGTAGTATTTTTTTGTAACTACCATAGCTGCAAGTTTGCCGATTAGTATCGGATAAATATTCGATATATTTCCGTTACTATTTAAACTCATAAATAACCCATAAGCCCATTAAAATAAATCAGCATAACAAAATTGTTTCATATTGTAGATTTAACCCTTTTTTATTTTAATGTTTTTGGTAATTCCTGACTGAAAAGTTTTGAATTTTAAAACGTTTAGTTAATGAATTTGTATACTCATATGACCACAGTAAATCAAACCGCAAGTCAGTATTTTTGGGGGGCCTCTGTGCGGTCACATCCCACCCCATCCACATGCAACCCACTCCGCCCCCACAGTGTACATAACAAACGGGCTTAATTGGCAATTTAGTAACCAGTTAAATGTGCGCGGCAGGCAGTCCCATCGTCAGCGCGCTCCTCCGGCACAATGTGCTCCTGCGAGCTGGTGGGGTCCTCCGGAGCTGGTACTCCATCTCCAGCCTGTGCGCCTCGCCGTGCAATCTGAACTATAGATCGGAGGCGCGCACTTTCGCGACGGACGGGGGAGCCTCCGCTCCAGCTGCGTCCACCCAGATCTCGCACCCAAAAACAGTGAGTGATTTCCAAAAGCTTCACGAAGCCACCAAAAAGAAGTTCCAATGTAAGCCTCAACCATTCGAAGGCATATGCATATATGCGTAGTATGTGCACGATCTATAAATACCCAGCCGCCAAGTGGTCCCATTAGTGACACCCCCCGTTTCGCACCACTTGACATTTTCAGCCAAGAAGCTGCCCTCTGATGTGCATCCAGATGCGGTATTCGCCTGCAACGAGCTCGATCTTAGCGAGGTGCAGGTGTATGGATTCGATTACGACTACACCCTGGCCTGCTATAAGCCCATCCTGGAGGACCTGCTGTACAATCTGGCCCGCGAGATGCTGGTGAAGAGGTTTCGCTACCCGGAGGACATCCTCCAGCTGGAATACGAGCCGAACTTTGCGGTGCGCGGCCTGCACTACGACGTGGAGAAGGGGCTGCTGGTGAAACTGGACAGCTTTCTGCAGCTGCAGTTGGGCTCGGTATACAGGGGTCGAACCAAAGTGGAGGCGGATGAGGTGCTGAAGCTCTACCACAACCGCCTGCTGCCCATTGCCTACGTGGAAGGGCCCAATAATAGCTACAGGGTACGTACATATCTATATCTTATCACCTAGCTTGCGATTGGGCTTTGTGTTTATCAATCAGTGATTGGGATCAGTGATTTACAATCTTCTTCCGAACAGCATAACACCAACTCCAAAATGGTGCAACTGGCCGACCTTTTTTCTGTACCTGAAATGTGCCTGCTGTGCAATGTAATCGAATATTTTGAGCGCAATCGCATCGACTATAATCCGGAGATTGTTTTCCATGACACCAGGACCGCCATGGGTTCCTGCCATCCCATAATGCACGGAAAGGTTATGCGGAACACCGAGAAGTACATAGAACGAAACCCGAAGCTGGTCAAGTTCTTCGAGAAGCTGCAGCAGGCGGGCAAGAATCTCTTTCTGGTCACCAACAGCCCGTACTCGTTTGTGTAAGGCAATTGTAGATCTTTAATTTTACCAATATCACAATTTCTCATATCATAATGTCTGCATCTGTAGAAACTGTGGCATGTCCTTTCTAGTGGGCTCCAACTGGCGTGATTTCTTTGATGTGGTCATCGTGCAGGCTCGCAAACCAAAGTTCTTCACAGATGAATCTCGACCTATAAGGCTGTTCGACGAGCGAACGCAGTCGCACTTGTGGGATCGGGTATTCAAGCTGGAGAAGGGAAAAATCTACTACGAGGTAAGACTGTCCCATTCCAAATTTGTGTAACCAAGACTGCAGTCTAATTTTCTACCCAGGGTTCGGTGAGACAGCTGCAAGAGCTCAAGGGCTGGCGTGGTCACTCTGTCCTCTATTTCGGAGATCATCCGTACAGCGATCTAGCAGATGTTACTCTAAAGCACAGCTGGAGGACGGGAGCCATCATCAGTGAACTTGCTGTGGGTGTTTTATATAAAACAATTAACGCATTGCCTCTAAGGGTGTTTCCATATTGCAGCACGAAATTAAAACCCTCAATCGTGAGGACTTTAAAATGAGCGCTAACTGGCTGCAAATGCTGACGCAGCTCATCGAGGAGACCCAGGATGATGATAGCGAGGCAGCCCAGATTTGCCTGAAGGAGTGGATGGAAGAGCGGGATCAATTGCGGTATGCAAATATACATTTGTCCAAAAGCGTACGATAATACCTCATTTACTTCCAACCTTTAACAGCAACAAAACGAAGAACGTGTTCAACGAGCAGTTTGGCAGCGTTTTCCGCACCTATCATAACCCCACGTACTTCTCAAGACGCCTCTTCCGCTTTGCCGACATTTACACCAGCGATATAACCAACCTGCTCAAGTTCTCCACCACCCACACCTTCTATCCCCGACGGGGAGTAATGCCTCACGAATATGCCTCCCACTTCATCTAGAGAAAGTGGAAACGAATGCCCGTTAGGATGCTCAGATTAGTTGTAGGTGAAAAGAAGTGCCAGTGCTCACTGCTTGTAGCTCGAAACTAGTGAATTTAATGCGTGTATATCGTTAGTTACATTGTTGCTCAATAAAATCGTTGTAATAGTTCAAGAAAACCTCGCGATGCTCGCTAGCCAGATATTCCACCTTACCTTTCATCTCTAAAAGTTCCTTTTTGCTGGTGCGGCATTTCTTCTGGGCTATGATATCCCACAAATAGGTCATGCGGGCAATGTATTCCATGGAGGTATCGCCACACTGCGCAGCAGTGCCTTCCAGCTGTTTTCGTATAATCCTCGCAAGATCTTCATATGCCAACTCATCCAGGGAAGTACCCTCTGTTTGATGATGATAGTTCATGAATTACGTAATTACAAAAGCCAGCTATAGCGTACCATCTATCTCCACAAAACAGGCGTTCACCAGTTCCTCGGCCAGTAATCTTTTTAAACTGTGGTAATCCACAAGCCATTGGTCTAGATCATCGAATGCCTTGAAGAGCGCCTGCCTTTTTGACGAATCGGCACAGCTCCAGATGAGTTCAAGGAACTCCTTGTACCAGGCGAAATGTTGACGCTCCTGGCAGACCGTGCAAATAATCGGGTTCTCTATATTGGATGCCAGCCACCAGATGAGATTATTCCGTTGAACTTTGGCGTCTGGGAGGAACTCTTGTCGGCAGTTGGGGTTTTCGCAGCGATAACGATGGAAAGAAAGCTAAAAGTTTAAGAAGCACATTTACAAATGGCTGTGCATGAATTAAAAAACATACATAGTTTTGGTCGGGATCAGTTTGTGTGCACTTAGTGCATGCGCACTCAAATTTGTAGACGTCCTTTAGGGGTTCGCATCGCTGAAGCTTTAAGCTGTTCATGTAATCCCTTGTATAGCAATTGAAGATCTCCTCGCCGTGTAAAATGTCCTTTGCAGCGTAGTTCACCACAGAACACCCATCGAACTTGGTGCGAATCGAGGGTTCGCATGCGTGGTTGCACAAGCTCAAGTTAGGCAGATTGATGGCTGTAATAAGCTCCGAGTGGGATAGATTGTGCAGCTGCCCGCGTTTCAGGTGTCGAGGCTTTTGCCACAAATCCGGCTGCAGCGCGACAAACTCATTTGGCTCCATGCCAACTACGAGCAACGCATCGCCCACATGCCCATTCGCCAGCAGCTGACCGGCGAATCGAAGAATCAGTGCTGATATAATCAGTTGCCAATCTTCAGTGCTGGCCGACATTGAGCGGAACTGATCGAAGAAATCGGTGTGCCCTTTCAGATAAAGTTGAAGAAAGTTGGCACAGAGGATGTGGTAAGTTAACTCCGCCTTGGAAGCCTGATCTAATAGACTGACCATGCGCAGACTTCGCAAATACTCTGGAGCGTGCTCACATACTTCCGGTTTCCGGGCGAGATTCATAATTTCATCCCAAATACTCTGTGCACTGGTCCTCTCCTGCAAATGAGGCATTATGTGGGGAATGTAAGCCAGGACCAATCGCAAGGCCAAATGCGAAACACCCAACAGTTTGAGCAGATCCTTTCTGTAGGCGGCGCACTCGTACTTATGGATGGCCGAGTGTGCTTCCCGACATTTCCTAGAACAGTAGACCACCCGTTGATGGCACTTGGGGCAGGGTATGGGGGCGCTCATTAAGCTAGCGGCGCATTGCTGGCAAATAAGCAGTTGTTGCAGTGGAACAAAACAGGAAGCTCGCTCGGAAAAGATTACATTGCCTTTGCTAATGTTTTCCTTAGCCACCATATATCGTCCACGCTGACCAGGATCTGTAAGGCTGAATAGTAAAGGTCAAGAAACCAAGAATTCTCCAGTGTATCAAATTGGAAACTTACATTTCCCCTAAAGCTTTATCCTCCACTTTCTCTTGTGTTTCCTGCTCGTTGGCTTGGTTCTTGAGTAGCTCCAGTTTCTGCTTCAGGTTGTCCAGCTGCTGTTGGAAGCTCTCGTTAAGCTTCAGCTTCTCCAGACAATCCAAGTGCTCCTCCAGCAAAGCAATCTTTTCCAGCTTCCAGGCGCAGTAGGCCTGCCGCATGATCACCTTGTGCCGCACCTTTTCCGGATATCCACACTCCAGCGCATTGGCGCAGTCGTCGTAGGCTTCTCTGTAGTATCCGTACTCCTGCAAAGCCATTCCTCGGTTGGCGAACGCCAGCGACAGCTCATCCACGGCATCCTCAGCCTCGAATACGGCTGCCGTATAAAGCCTGCAGGCATTCAGAACCGCATCCTCGGAGGAACCTCTGAACACAAGGTTGCCTTCCTCGCGCAGATTTCGCGATCGTTCTGCGCACTTTTTCGTGTCGTGTGGTTGCTCGAAATCCTGTAGCAATTTGATCGCCAGCTGCTGAAATCTCTGCCGCTTGTCCACTGGCAGTGCGGCCAGTGACTTGAAGGTTTCGAACTCATCCTTGTAGTCCTCATCCAGAGTTATCAGTTCGTCCTGCTTGGAGAAAACTCTGGCCAAACGTTCCATGTTCGCCAGCTAAATAATCTGTTTACAAAAATTAAATCAGGCGCTTGGTAATTTTTAGGATATTTTTGGGTAGCCGCTATTGAATGAATCGATTATTTTTCAAATAGCACTTCAGTTCTAGTCTATAATTATTTAAAATTTTTTTAAAATTGAAAATGTGGTACATACATGTTAAATTATAAAGACTGTTGAAACCCTTTTAACTGGTTGAAATTAAATTTTTTACGAACGCGGGGTATATCAGAATCTGTAGTATCTTCACCAGAACTCGAAACAGCATATCCTTTCAAAGAAAACGAATTAACTTTTCATTAGTCGGAACAATGATTTCTGAATAATTAAGCCCTAATGAAAACCTGTCAAAATTTCCTAATTATCGATCTGCCGGCGGCTATCGGATTTCTCCCACCACCAAGGGGAAACGTAAACAAAGTCCGGCAGAACGCACACTCATGCAGGATTGCAGAATTCCGTCACGGATTTCAGCAAATTTACGGGTTTCATCAGTGGAAATAACTTCGGTAGCTCTCTACAAACCTTTTGACTGCCAATAGTCACTATGAAAGACGCAAAGGTGAGTTTCCCAGCAGATCGAAATGGCCCCCACAGTTACATCATGTCGGTTGGACTTCGCTTGTTGGGTCTCTGTATTTTCCTGTTGAAAAACGTGAAAACTGACCAAATTGGATTTGAGTTTCAGCCTTTTCCCGTGCTCAAGAATGATAACCTGCTGCGGGCCGCACGTGGCGAAGTGGTGGACCGTGTGCCCGTGTGGGTGATGCGCCAGGCGGGGCGCTACCTCCCGGAGTTCCAGGAGCTGCGAAAGCTGCACGACTTTTTCACCGTCTGCCGCACCCCAGAACTGGCTTGCGAAGTGACCATGCAGCCATTACGCCGCTTCGATCTAGACGCCTCCATCATCTTTTCGGACATCCTTGTCATTCCGCAAGCGCTCGGCCTCACCGTGGAGATGCACGCGGGCGTGGGTCCTGTCCTGCCTCAACCCATTGTGGTGCCGGAGGATCTCAAGCGCCTTACGCCGGACGGAGCCTTGTCCCGGCTTAGCTACGTGGGCGACGCAATCACCATGATGCGCCACAAGCTGGAAGGTCGAGTGCCGCTCATTGGCTTTACAGGAGCGCCGTGGACACTGATGGGATATATGATCGAGGGTGGCGGCAGCAAGACCATGTCAAAAGCTAAAGCTTGGCTCAACGAACATCCTGAGGACTCCAAGCTTTTCCTTAACCTGCTGACCGACGCTATTGTGGACTATCTGGAGATGCAGGTGAAAGCTGGCGCCCAAATGCTGCAGGTATTCGAATCCTCCGCCGAGCATCTCTCAAAGGAGCAGTTCCTAGAGTGGGGAGTGCCCTACCTGAAAAGAATACGTGACGAGCTGGTGGACCGTCTTACAAAGAAGGCCATCCCCGTGGTTCCAATGGTAAATCTAAATTCAAAGATCTTATCGTGCTTACTAAATGGAATTTCTTTGCAGACGCTTTTCGCTAAGGGCGCTGGGCACTCGCTGAAGGAGCAGAGCGAACTAGGCTACGACGTCATTGGCTTAGATTGGACTGTGGATCCTCTGGAGGCACGCAACTTGGTTGGACCGAACATTACGTTGCAGGGCAACTTGGATCCCCAGGACATGTACCGCGATCCTGAGGAACTGCGCAACCTGACCACCGAAATGGTGCACAAGTTCGGCAAGTCGCGTTACATCGCCAATCTGGGACATGGAATCACTCCCCAGACTCCGATTACGAGCATGGAAGTGCTGGTGGAGGCGGTGCATAAGGCTCTGTAAGGTGCGCCTTACTCTAACCTTTAATTTTATGATGCTTTTATCGAATGCAATAAAGACAATTGGCCTTGGGTTTAGGGTAACCTTATTGGAATGTTATATTTAGCTGGTGTTGAGCCTGTTCTTGCTGAATCTTATCGTAAATCATCAGGATACTGCCACAACAGACGAGCAGGGTGCCCAGGATGACTTCTGCGGAAGCATATAGTATACAATGTGCAATAAGTTATACATAAACATTTAGCTTACTCCTTCCGGGCAGCTTTTCACCCAGCGCATATCCAGCTATTGCCGTAAATGCGAAGCTCAGGGAATTGGCCACTGGCACCGCCACTGTAATGCTGGTTCGCTGGAGCGTCCATACGTACAGAGCACTGCCGCACTGGTTGAGTCCAAAGGGTATCCAATAGCGCCACCGGGAGCCGATTGTGCGTGCTTCCTGGACAAAGTTGCGCCACTTGGAGCCGGTATCTCTCACCGACTCGATTCCCTGGCTGCCGAGCCGAATGAACGGATTGGTAACGCCCCACAGGAGGCCCACGGCAACAAGTTGTGCTAGAAGCAGATTTTGAGAGTTGAGCACGATTATATTTTGGATTATTTACCTGCAATCTCCAGCATACTAATTTGTTTACATCTGATCAGCTGTTTCGTGGTACCTCATCGGTTTAGAATCTAAATTTCAGAGCAACAATTTGGGGCATTCCATTTATAGCTATTTTATATTTATCATTTAATTTATTTATAATTTAATTAAACAAAATACACATGAATTAAAATATACATTAATAAAATATACACTTTGAGATTCTTATTTAGAAAACATAAATGTTAATGGATTTGAATTTTGCAAATTTAAAAGTATTACAGATGCTAAATAAATTTGTTTTTTTTGAAGTTTGCATTTTGGTATGTCCTAACTTTTGGAAAACTAATTTGATTTCTTTCCAACAGGTACATTACTCTATTTGCATAAAAATCATTTGAAAAAAAAAGTCATTTCAATTGACAACTAGTGAAACCAGAAGCATAAACGATTTGAAAATGAAAATTGTTAAGTAAGCTTTTGGGGTCAATGGGTCAATCAATTCTAAAATTCAAGAAGTTATTTCCGTAATATTACTCTTTATGGAATACCCTCTTTGCGGAATACCGTCAAGCTAGTTTATCTGGCAACACGATAGTCACGATAGCGCAGCCACACTATTTTCTGCTCACCTCTAGCATCTCTTCTTCTATCCTTTTCTTTTCGCTGCGTTTCCGGAAGAGGTTCGTAATTTGCGATTTTATATTTAAATCGAAAAACATCGCATGTTTCCACGAAGTAAATGCAATGAAACTGAGTGCACAATGTACCGAATCGAAAAACCGATCACGGCGTATGTTCATTTTCCCTGTGCATCAATTTCACAGTCATTACTTGGCGGATGGAATATTCCTTTGAAGTTTTGTTTATGTTGTGGCAATGACTAAATTTGATTGTTACACACTTGCAGGATATTGAGTAGCACCGTTTCGGGCTAAACAGCACAATGACCAAGACCAAGGGCGAGAAAATCAACAAATCCGCGATCAATGAAGTCGTGACCCGCGAGTGCACCATTCACTTGGCCAAGCGTGTCCACAACATCGGCTTCAAGAAGCGCGCGCCCCGCGCCATCAAGGAGATCCGCAAGTTCGCCGAGCGGGAGATGGGCACCACCGATGTGAGGATTGACACCCGTCTGAACAAGCACATCTGGTCCAAGGGTATCAGGTGCGTAGTCCCTACACAGCTTGGAACTAGCATCCTCTCTAATACGCCGTTAATTCCTTCCAGGTCCACGCCATTCCGCATTCGCGTGCGCCTGGCGCGTCGTCGCAACGACGATGAGGACTCCCCCAACAAGCTATACACCTACGTGACCTATGTGCCGGTGTCCACGTTCAAGAACTTGCAGACCGAGAACGTCGAGTCCAGCGACGACTAAGCAACGTAACTGACGGCCAACAAAACACGGTTAATAAAAAGTAATTTTTATTTAGAAAAAACAAACAAAACAAGTGAATTAAAGTGTGGTAAACTGCGGCTGCACCAAGTAGACTGCCTCCTGCGTGGCCATGGACAGCAGTCGAAGCTTGGGGCTGGGCAGCTGGAGCACTTCCAAGGCATGAACCCTGGGCAAGGCACTGTCGCCCAGGATCTGCTGGAATCCCGCTGCTCCGCGGTGCTGGTAGATGCTAAGCTGCTGCTGCGGCAGTACGTTGGATACGCAGAGCAGTAGATCATCGGACTCTGGCAGATGCATAAAGCGCATTATCCGTGACTGCTGAGCGTCCTGGAGTTCGAGAACTTGGTCCAGTTGGAAACCGCTTGTGTCTAGGCTACCGAAGCTGCGAAGCGATTAAAGCCTTTGTAAATGCCAAATTAGTAAAGTGCTCATGTATCTACCTGTAAATTCGAATCTCTGCTGCTGGCGATGAAGCCATTAGTGCCACATATCCGCTTTCCATGCCAGCACATCGTTGACTAAGCGCCATTTGCTCCACCTGCCCATCCATCAGTCTGCTCGATAGGGAGTAATTGCCATTACTCCATTTCCATAGCTCCACCGCTCTGGCGGAACTAACTAGAATGGGCATCTCATCTGTATCAGCGACCGCCAGCAACTGTTTTACAGCCCGCCTGGGCAAGATTGCTTCCCTGCTGTTGTTCTCCATATCTAGGCATCGGATTACTATCTGCTTTTCTTCCTGTAGTGCCCGGCACTCAAATCCATGTGATCTGAACTGCAGTTTGTTTGGGGTTTCTGCATTCTCAGTGATTTGATCCAAGATTCGCTTCTTTAGCTGTGCCAGTGCGAATAAGCCTACAAAAATAAAGCATTCAGTTAGATTCATGTGGACTTTGGAATACCCTTTCTATATATGTAATTTGCGCTGTTGATATTAATTGGCGTTAGGCTTTTTTTTTAAATGATAACTTGGGTTTATATCTTAATCTACGTTGAAAGATTTTAATTTTTTTAGAATTTGTTTGGACCCAATTGAAAATGCTTAGGACTCTTTTAAAGGGTATATCAAAACAACAGATATGCGAGCAAGCCAGTGAGGTTAGACTGCTAGCATTTAAAAGCAGAAATCGACCACTTTTCCGGCAGAACCAGAGCAGATTGCGATAGACCAACGACACCTCGTAAAGACCATTACAATTTACCATGAAAAGGCACTTGGGGACATGTCTTTGGGTCCTGTGCTTGGCCTCCACGGCGTTTTCCAGCCTTGCGGTGACTACTTCGCCCAAACCAACGCTAGCTTCGGCGTTTAGGTGAGCAACGCGTACAGTGCATTCTTTGTTTGCTTAGATCCGCCCCTTTGCAGTGGAAAATCCAAAACAACCGCTGGTACCACTGCCGTGAAAGCGAATAAGACGACGGTTGAGCTGCTGCCCATGGTCATCAACACTTGGAAATTCACGGCTGCCAATGTGCTGGCCTGGCGGATTCTCAAGCAGAGCAAGGGTGGACTCCGGCAGACGCGGAACGCGGTAGTAGAGGGCTGTTCGAAGTGTGAGAAACTGCAGTGTGACCGAACGGTGGGCTATGGCGGATCTCCGGACGAGTTGGGCGAAACCACGCTGGATGCAATGGTTATGGACGGAGCCACCATGGATGTGGGGGCAGTTGCCGGGCTGCGACGCATTAAGGATGCCATCAAGGTGGCCCGGCACGTTCTGGAACACACGCAGCACACCATGCTGGTGGGTGATGCGGCGTCCGCTTTCGCCAATGCTATGGGATTTGAGTCAGAATCGCTAATTACGCCAGAGTCGAAGGACATGTGGTTGCAGTGGACGGCGGAGAACTGTCAGCCAAACTTCTGGAAGAACGTTCACCCGGATCCCAAGGTCTCCTGCGGTCCGTACAAACCGCGGCCGACTCCCCTGACCCGCTGGAAGGAGGACCGTGCCCGGAATGAGTACGAGATCGGACGCAAGAACCACGACACCATTGGCATGATCGCTATCGATGTGGAAAGCAATATACACGCCGGCACCTCCACCAACGGGGCGCGTCACAAGATTCCCGGACGGGTTGGAGACTCCCCCATTCCGGGTGCCGGTGCTTATGCAGACAACGAGGTGGGTGCTGCCGTAGCCACCGGTGACGGAGATGTGATGATGCGCTTCCTGCCCTCACTGCTCGCTGTAGAGGCCATGCGGGCAGGAAAACCGCCTGCTGAGGCAGCTCAAGAGGGCCTTCGCCGCATTCTCAAGTACCACAAGGACTTTATGGGTGCCCTCATCGCCGTGGATCGGCTGGGAAATTATGCCGCCGCATGCTACGGACTGGACGAATTCCCCTTTATGGTGAGCAGTCCAGCCGGAACAGATGGGCCCACGCGCTTGGAAACGGTCAAATGTATAGCTGGTCAAGACAAAGTAAATGTCGTGTCGTTGTGAGGTGGCGGAAACTATAAATTATTTCAATAAAATGTATAATTCGTTGGGTATCCTTGTCATTAAACATTGTGGTATTCAAAAGGCGGTATTTGTTTGGGCCTATCGGCAGAGCGATAGGCGAGTGCTTATACCGTAAAGTAGTAGTAAACAAATTATCGATATGTAGGGATTCTAACATTATGGTCACTCTTAAGTACAGTGGTAAGTGTAGTTGGTATCCGTATTAACACATCACGAGCTGTGATAAACATATTAACAATAAAGTATTAGAATAGATTGGAAAACGAGATTTTAAATATTTGATAATATCTGGTTATAATAAAAGTACGGAGCACAACGGAAATACTTGATTCAGTTGTAAATACTTTTAAAACTTAGCACTAAGTCCGAAATGTTTAATATTGGAAATCAATATTTTTTTGCCGGGTATTAATTTATAATTGAAAATACTGGAAGTATGAATATTTATTTGTATATAAATAATATATATTAAAATTAAAATATTTGTGTTGAAACATTGCATCGTGAGAGTACTGTGCCACTTATATGTTGCAAAATTTGGCTCATCCCTAAGTTACTGTACCAAAAAGCGGCATTTCTGGTATTTGCATGACGCACGGTCACATTTTCCGCCAATTTACCGACGCCAAATACAGAAGAGGAAAAGAGAAGCGAACGGTGCGAAAGCGGAGAGAAAAAGAAGCGAATCTAAGTTATATATATTAATTAGTGTGTCGCGTGTAAACAAAACAGCCTCCAAAATTATCAGGAACGCGCAACCAGCGGGCCGCAAGTCGCTGACTAAGATGGCAATCCAACTGGACAAGATTCTGCAGGACATCGCTAAAGAAAAGGTACTGCATCCAAACAATGGCGGCGCCAGCAAGCAGGAGCAGGAGGAGGCGTGGGCCAGGATCGGGCGTCTCAACAAGCTTTCCGTGCACGAATCGCGCTCCATCTTCATAGTGCTGCAGAAGAAGTACGAGCAGGAGAAGCAAAAGGGCAATTCGGCGTGGAAGCTCTTCAGCTTGATGCATCAGATTCACCAGGAGCCCAAGATCTCAATCAAGGAGGAAAAGTAAGTGGCGTATATAGCCATCTGGGAATGAAAAACTAACAATAATTCGAACTTCCTGCAGTGATCAAGTTCCCATGGACGAGGTGGAGGAGTACGAAATGCTGGAGGTGCAGGAGCCTGAGGACGAGGATGACGCCCATCAGTACGGACAGCACGCCAACTCTACCGGCTCGGCGTCCTCCGACGGTGAAAGTCCCACAAAGTCCCACAGCACCGGCTCGCCGGAAAAGGACGAGCGGGTGTACGCCAAACCCAACGTAGACACTCCTCGTCCAGCCATCGAGGAGAAAAAGCTGCTCAACACACTGGCTAATAACACACCGCGAAGTAGCTCGCTGTCCGCCGCCGCAGCAGTACTCCAGAAAAAGGGAATCACTGTGAAGAAGACGCCCAGCTCAGTATCTGGGCTTGTATCCAAACCGACAATTGGGCAACAGGCGCCAGTCAGTGGGCAGAGATCAAGCTCCTCGCGCACCACCATTCAGCTGCCAGATTCTTTAAAGCGCAAACTCTCGGAGGAGTACACCTCGTCATCGGCGCCAAAAAAGCCGTCCAAGGCAACGAGCCCGAAACAAGCAGCTTCGTCTGCAGCCGCCACTTTAGCGCCCACCATCGTTCCAGATCAACTGCCGGCGGGAAGTAATGTGGTGCATACAACAACTGCACAGCTGATGCAAGTAAAGAAGGAGCGTGAAGACAACCAGACACCGCCGCCGGGCATCAACATCATCACCATTCCAGCGGCGCAACAGATTAATGGTGGCGGTGGAGGACCGAACTCGTCGACAGCCGCCACCATTGCTTCCACCTCAGTGGCTTCCACAAACGGTTTTTCGCCACACATTGAGGAGCTGGACTTCAAGAATGACATTATCTTCGACCCGAAGATCAACGCTGCCTCCTCCAATACACCTGAGATTATCAACCTTGGCAACTTTGACAACTCGCTGCCGCCGACCTTTTTCAAGAATCTGTGCAACTCGTCGCGACACGAGTCTCTCGGGCTGTACGTGGCCAATGTGATGAACAGACTCTCTTCGCGTGCCTCCGCCAAGCTTGAGCTGGCAATCTTGCGCGCCATCCTTGATGTGCAGAGCGACGAACTGGAGCAGTAGCCCGACTGATACTCGCAAATTAAATGATTACTCAGCTTACTTATTAGACAAACTCGAAGGTAGTTATGTAGGCCTGCCTGAACCCTTTCTCGTATTTATCGTATAATTTTATTCGTGTTTAAACGTCTGCGTTGTGTGCTGCCCAATTGTATGATGTATTTACCCACAGTTCTGGTATGTGTATTCGTACCAGTTGAGAAAAGATTTTAAAGCTAAATTTAAAATGTACTTCTAATATTTGAGATTTTGAATTTGTCCCTATTTAAGGTTCAATATGCTACTTGATTTTAAAATACGTTTATATGCAAATAAATCTACATAACTTACTTGAATTTTGGCCAAACAGATGCTTATCCGGTTGCCAGGTATACGGGACTACTTCGTTAGACATATGCTCCCAGATGGCCAGTACATCATCGTTGTCCAAGGAGATGATCTTCAAATGCGAGGCTTTATGAGGAAATTGCTGCAGCACAGCAAATCCTTCCAGCACTTTAGGTGGCTCTGTTGGTTGAGTTAAAGATACATAACTAAAGGGGAATTTGTATTAATATGTTTATAACATACTGGCCAATCTGTTCTTAATAGCTGCAACATTTTCCTGAAGCTGCTGCCAATCCTGAATGTTATTCGCTTGGACACCCCTTTTATTTTTGTAATAATTATCCAGGTACCCATTTTCGTTGCCCGAATCATAGTGTCCCACAATTAGTGGCTTGGTGAAGATCAGTTGGTTCTCCACGTGAAGATTGGGACGGTTTTCTGCCTTGCTGACCAGCAACTCGTTTACTGGCAGACCATTGACGTAATCCACCCAGAGATTCTTCACATTATTGCTCATAACTCGCTGCTGCTCGGGAAGACTGTTCGCCACCAGCAAGGAGCCCGGCACATCCTGCTCCTTGTCCATCAAAAGAAGCTTGTCCTCGTGCCAGGGGACACCATTCACAGTCCCCTTCACGGTAAGATCATTGTAGAGATTAACATTATTCAGCTGGGTAGTGCCAGCAATGCTGTGGTTCCCGTATAGGTAGGCTGCATCATTGATCCACTTGGCCAAAGGCACCTCCGCCACTTGGCTTTCAGGGGTAGTATGGAGGCGATTTATAATGCAGCTAGGGACGGTTTTCAGTGCGTCGACTGACGAGGGAGAATTGCTACTGTCATTATTATGAGGTATTCTCACGATATCATTAGTTAGGTTTAAGTGATTTATCATGACGTGGTTCAAATTTCCCGAAATAAGAGCCTCTGGCAGTTCCCATTTTCCACTTATAGAGTGAGATCCGGCTGTTTTCAACGAGTGAGCTACAAAATCATCAAAATCTAGAGAGAAGTTGCTAGGAAAAGATAAAGATAGATTTTAATATAGTATACAACATTTAGAAGCACCGAAATCTTTACACATTCCAGAAAAAAATAATTGGTAAAGTATAAAATTTAAAAATGGTTAATATAGTTTAGAGTAGGACTTATATATATGAGCCGAAAATTAATTGTATTTAAAATACATAAATTCCTCTAATATTTAAATTCAACGATAGCTGGTTGGATCGATAATAGTTTTGAAACCATCGATAGACCGATGCTTTTGCCATCTCTAGCTGTCAGGCGCTTGGGATTCTAGCGAAGACGTTTTTGTTGTTTCAAATCACAAACCTCTGCTCTGCCGAAACTGCCCGACCGTAAAAAGTGCATTTAACCAAACCCAATCAGCGACCAATTGACGAGGTAATTAAGCACACCTACCACTATTCGAAACAAGTGCAACCCCCGCACCGCGCTTTTTGTAAACGTGTACAGAAATTTCACCTGCCAAGCGGAATGCACAGCTGACTTCTGCTGATGCAGTGCCTCTAAAACTGTTAGCGCGTAAACAATTGCGAAAGTGAAACGTGATACCAACAATACACCTGTCAACTGCCCCTTGCCCCATGATCATTTGGTCAATTTCACTTACCTACTGGAGCCCTCCATTAAAACGTCGCTGCTGCCACGTCGTAGTTTTACGTATTTGGCGACAGGAGGCTGTGCGAACGTGACGTCATGCTGGAAGCTCAGGGGATTTTTCAGCAGATTGCTACGCGTCCGGCTGAAGTAGTTGCGCCTGATGTGTTCCACTTGGTGCCCGTTGATGGGTCCCTACGGCAAAAGGCATTCTTGTACACACCATAGGTTTCTGATGTAGAAAATACACACACCTGGAATTCCAGCAGGCCTTCAAATTGTCCAGATTCCAGTTTTAATTCCCTCAACGCAATCTGCTCGTTGTCCAGCCACACTTGATCTAGGAGGTTTCCAAGATTGTGTCCATTCAGGAGGTGATAAGAGGGTTCTCCACCAAACCTTACATTCTCCGCCACAAAGGTGTCCACATTTTTTCCAGTTAAATACAGCTCCAATGCCTCCAGAGGATAACCATTCAGGCTGGCTATGTTAGACAATTCTGCGGCCTCTAGGTTACCCTCTATGCTAACTGGAGAAGAGATGTAACCTCCACCGTTATGGTAAATAATGTCCTCTGGGACGCGGAGTAAATTCAAGTGATCCAACTGTAGCTCCGATTGCAACACAATGGGATTCGCTGAGAGGTAATGTTCTTATAGTTGATGACGTTGTAGTAGTCCGTATGCTACTCACCAAATCGCACCATTTGCAGGTGCTCCGATGCGTTGAGTCTATAGCTGCGGTTCTCCAGATCTTCAATGGTGTGGTTGTTGAGTTGCCCTCTCAGCCAGAGGCCTTGCTGGCTGTCCAGGGAAGACAGCTGCTGGGGGGCTGTGAAATTCTGGTCCCCGTCGGTCTCCAACCAGCAGCTACCAAATGTATTAGCTTCGATTCCATTTAGAGAGTTTACAAAGCTGAGGGAACTGATGTTTACATCATGCTCAAAAGTAAAGTCGCCAACGTATTTGATGTTGCCCGCTAGTTGCTGCAACTGCTGCTCCAATCGGACCACCTTCACTTTATTGATACTGTCACTAAGCCACAGATTCTGGGCGTGAAGGGTGCCATTAAAATCGGTTGGCATATGCCAGCTGTCCAGGGCCTTGCTTCCATGCTCGTAGATTGAGGACAGTGTTTGGCCAAAGAGATGGCCATTTAGGTGCAGATCATCCACGGTCATTTTCCCCACATCCAGGTTGTCAATATACAGTGTTCCATTTGACTTTTGATCCTGACCTGTTTGAAGGTAATCCTCAACTCCCAACCCATTCAATAACACCTGTGATGAAGTGACCTGGTCCATTTCCACGCCTTGTAATTGAATTGTAGTCGAAATAGTTTGGTTGCCACTCTTGCTGAGCAGCATTTCCGTGAGTCTTTCCGTATCTATGCCATTTAGCCATTTGATCTCACCGAACCCATCGATAATCTCTACATTCTGGGGAAATATCTTACTTGCCTGCACCAACTGCACTTCAGCAACGTTCAGTTTAACCAGATGTTGCAGATCTCTTGTATTGAGGAAGCTCAGCTCGGTTGTGTTGGCAATAAGGGGCTCCGCAAAGTTCAGACTCACATCCTCCAAAGGTTGATCCAGTCGCAGGC